TTTTGGACTTTCATTCCTCTATTAAACTCGTACTAGTAAAAAATATAAAAAAATATTTTCAATAAAATAAAATAACCAAAATACGTTTGAAAGTTTTAAGGGGTATTTGGTTATTATATTTTATCAAAAATTTATTTTTAAAATTTTTTATAAGTACATCCCAATGAAAAGATAGCACATATCAAATTTCATATTCATATAATTTATATAAAAAAAACTAAAAATAAAATACTTTGAGATGTCAGATCTACTATCATTTGGAGAGACTCTTTTAATCGGATACTCTCTTAATCAAAATGAAGCGGCTAGTAAAGAGTTTGAAGAAAATTATAGAAACCTTTCCCTTCCGACGCTAAGTTATGCGTCGTGATCTGTCAGTGAAGGAGCAGTTGAGGGGTGTTTTTGTCTTTTGTATGACTGACAGACATGCGCCGTCCAACCGTCCAAAATAAATTCGTTAAAACGCTGACAGAAATTTTCCGTAGCAGTGCAATAAATGACTAAACTACCTCTTTACTTTCCTATTAGTTGCTAAACTACCCCTACGACTTTTGTAGGTCTTTTAAACACCACAAAGTTTGCAACAAATGGTGAATAATCATCGAAGAAAAAGACTCGTTCGTCCATAAGGTAAAGGTCCGAAGGGCAAGGTTTCTAAGTGTCCTAAGACCTACATGTAAATGAGTACCTTTTTTTAAATTTATTATTGTGTGAATATATAATTTCTAATAGGATGTGGTTTTTGTAAGGTTGCAACCTTAAACAATTTAATTAAGAAGCACTCCCAAATTTTATCATATTATGTAATTTTGGTATAAAAAATTTGTAGGATTATCTGAAAATCTACTTTTATATCTAATTATGAAATTTTAAACTTAAAAAATGGTAAAAATCAAGCAGATTTATAAACATATGAAAATCTTGAAAATTTATGGTCTAGATAATGTGTTGCAAGATGCACTATTTGTAGAACTCAAAATCTTTTTTTGTCTTTCATATTCATACATCTTGATATCGAGATGAACAATTAGATGGTTTTAAACATTAAAACAACCTGTTCAATGGATTTTTGGGGTGCAACTTTAATTCTACATTTTAAGGTTGTAACCTTATATAAACTTTTTCCTTTCTAATATAGAGATCGTGAATATATCAAGAAAATAAATATTTAAAACTAAAACTAATAATTTATGAAGAAAATATTTAGGCTATTAGTATTAACTTTTTCTTGGAGGGCTTGACCATTGCTTGCAAAACTGGCCCGGTTGACCTAGACCCGGCTACGTTACCCAAAACCAACCAATGGTCGTGGCTAGTTTTGGCCGGTTAGGATGGTCAACCAGCTTGACAACCTAACTCTAAAAAAAAAAAAAGACTTAAAACACAAAAAATTTCTCTGTAATAGGTTCTTTAATAGTTTCTATTGTTTTGGAAAAGATTGGGACGTATTTGGGTCATAAATATTTATTTTTATACTTTTTTTTTATCTTTTTGGGTTATTTTTATTATGAGATTATATACAATGTGACCATTTACCTTTGGAATAGGGAGGTTATAAATTACTTACAACCATCTCATATGAAATTTGATAGCTTAGGTGTGTTACAAAGTTTGAGAAATTTTTTTTTGAATTTTGTGTTTGGTTAATAAAATAAATGTGGCCACCCAATTGCACATCCAATGGTCGAGATTTTATTGTGACCACTTGTACTAAAGGTAAATGATCACATCATATACTTTTCCTTTTAAAATATTCCTAGGCATAATTGATTTTTCAAAGTCTATTTTTCACTACTTTTTTTTATCTCATTTGGATGTATTTTATTTAATTATTCTTTAAACATAAATTTTTCTTATTTTTGGGACTGTTTGATATTTTGTTGAAATTTTTTAATCCTATTTAGCCCAAACAGGACTTGTTTGCACTAGTTACCTGAACCGATTCAGGGTTACCAGGAGCTAGCCCATGGCAAAGTTCTGCAGCCGGTTCGTACAATCGAACACTAGGACCGATCTGTCAGACCACTTGCATCCATCTTTAAGATGATATTCTATGCAATGTGGCATAAATAAATATAGGAATGTGTCAACCACACAATAATTTTCTTTTATGGAAACAATTGAATTTCAGGTTAGGAAAGACTCTTCCATCTCCAAATTAGGTTTTCTGTCTCTCCATTGCTATCCGTGAACCAAATGAAAAGTAGAGCTAGTGAATTTCTCTCCACTGCTGTCAGAGGACAATTGAGCAATCCTAGAGTTACAATCCTATCGGAGGACAATTGAGCCAAATCATGAGTTAAAGACAAAGAAATGAAATCTGGAGGTCTAGTGTGCCAAACTGTAGCAGCAGTGAGATGTCCCATTTTTTGCAAGTGTATATGCTACCATGTCAGTCTTGTGGTGGAAGTGAGAAATGCTCTCTACCTATGGTCTAAGAGTTTGTGACGGCAGTTGGCTACTAAATTGTAAAGTGATCATGGAGTCCTACAACACCCTTGAATAGTATTTGTAAGCAATGGTGATGCACTTTCAATTTGGAGAGAAAAACATTCAATTGAGCCAAATCATGAGTTAAAGACAAAGAAATGAAATCTGGAGGTCTAGCGTGCAGTTGAGAGATGTCCCATTTTTTGCAAGTGTATATGCTACCATGTTAGCCTTGTGGTGGAAGTGAGAAATGCTCTTTACCTATGGTCTAAGAGTTTGTGACGGCAGTTGGCTGCTAAATTGTGAAGTGCTCATGGAGTCCTACAACACCCTTGAATAGCATTTGTAAGCAATGGTGATTCACTTTCAATTTGGAGAGAAAAACATTCAAGTTCTAGGGCCAGGTTAATGTTTACTTCGACAGCATAAAATTCTGCCTAATTGTTTGATACAGTGCCAAAGGGTGTGACAAAAGCAACAATGAAAGCATCGTCGCTATTCTTGATAACCCCACCACCACTTGCTATGCCCGGATATAGAGCTAGTGAATTGCCCTACATATCTCTTTGTTCACTGACCATGTTCTCTTTTTCTCTCTCTTCAACCCCAAAGCTCTATTATCTTACTCAAATTATGGAGTTCTTTATTTTGCCCAATTTTTGTCTCATAAATAAAAATAGAAAAATTTTGCCATGCACTTTTTTATCCGAACCTCGACCCGATCTGATAATATTAGGTATAGGCCTAGACCCACATCAGACCCCGGGCCTAACCAATTTGTATTCATTTCATTTGGATATAGACCCGACCCGCTGGGTCGAATAACCATTATCAAACCTAGACTCGTGTGGGTCCATACCACAAAGTTGCCTCCGTTACTAGGGATCCAAGGTTGGATGCTAGAGCTTCTTGATTTGTGTGACTTGCGAGATACATAGAAAAGAAGGATAATCCGAGACCAGCAAGGGTTGGGTGAATTGTTAGGAATTGCAATGGGAAGATCATTTCCTGTTTTACAGGTCTATGATGTGAAATAACAGCAAATGAGGCGGAATTGCTAGCAGTATTACAAGGGCTTAAAGTTATTAGGGACCGGGATATCCAAATTTCTTGTATCGTTGAAGGAGATTCTTTATATGTCATTAATTGATGCAACCTTATCTCAAGACTTCCGCGGAGATTAAGATCTAAGTAATTAGAAATTATGGAGATTGCGCAAGACATGAATGTTACATTTAGACATGTTTATAGAGAGGACACTTGGCTAAAAAGGATGTCTCCTTGCAACCTTTGATGGGAAAAATTTATATTGAGCCGAGGTTCTGAACAATCAAATTAAAGCTTATCTAAAACATTTCATTAGAAAAGGTTGTTTTGATGCCCAAATATCTTCAAGTTGATCATCTAGACATCAAGATACATGGACATGAGAAAAAAAAAAAGAATTTCAAGTTTTGGAAATGATATATTTTGTAATGCCTTTTCGGACCGTCAATTTTCAAGGTTTTCAAGTTTTCATAGATCCGCTCGATCTACACTATTTTTGAAGCTTTAAACTTTATACTTAGATATGAAAATATATTTTGAGGCTATCACAAAGATTCTCAATATTGAAACTACATTTCTCGATACTATTTGAAGGTAGGCTCTATACAATCCGCACCCATCGTTGATTGTTTAAGATGTTTTTCATGTTTGAGTTTATTGGAATTTTTTTTGTGAAGCAATAAAATTATGGAATATTGTCCCAAAAAAAATAAATAAAAAAACTAAGGAAGTAATTTAGATGCTTGTCAAGGGTATAATCGTCAGGGAGGGGCATTCAAGGCAAATTTTAGGTCATTCTGGTCCTTTTCCTCCTTTGGAGTAAGACAAGGGTTTGCGATGCGTGAGATGTGGTGGTATAAAAAGGGTTCTATCGTCTGATGAGAGCGACGTGATTTGTGCGATCACAAGTCACAACAGTAAAAAATAAATTAAATCAAAAGAGAAAGTAAAGTCGGGATGAGACGCGAGAACCACGGCGATTGTCTGCAACATTTGCTCAACCTCTCTCTCCTTTAATGGTTTGCGTTTCTCCCTCTATACAACTACCACTACGGCTTCATTAATGGCTGCCTTTCTAGGTACTATTTGCCCCTCCTCTCAGTCTCTGTCTCTCTGCAACTTTTTCTAGGGTTCCGCTCACATCGTAGATGGGGCTTATCTTCCACTGATTCCACTTTCTGGCTTCCACATTTTTTATCTGTAACTCGAGATTATGGGGTTTCAGATTACTTCTTGGAATTTCATGGTTATTTTGGCCTTTTTTTAAATAATTTCTTTTGGTTTCCTTTTAGTTTTTGGACGGCCAAGGATCTTGATATAGTGATCTTGATATAGTGCTTCTTCTTTTAGTTTTGCTTTTTTTTTTCTAGTACATTTTTCGAGTTTTTTTTCTATTTCAGTAGGCTTCTTCCATTCGATCTAGGGTTTGTCATTTGTCTTTCTTCGATTTTATTCTTTTGCAGCATATTTTCCCCTTTTTTGTGAGCTGCATTGGTGGTCGAGATTCCTCCCTTTGGATCCCAGAAGTGCAAAATCTTCCATCAATTTTGTTCTTATTTTTAATTAAAGCTTAGTTCACGGCATTGAGAAAAAAGATAAATTGTGGGTGCCTGGATCCTTTGTCTGAGTCTAAGTTTTGCATCATCTACAATTTCATGGTGTTCGCGTCCTCGATTTTGCCAATTTTTTGCCCAGTAAAATCTTCTTCTGCTGATCCCAATTGAAAAACTTAGATAGTCCATCTTTTGACTATTTCCTTTCTCCATTTGCTTTTAGTAATATTCTCATTTCTCTGAATCTCTTACTCACTGAATTGACTGTTCATTTGAACAAATTCTTATCATGTTTTTTCAATTCATACAATTTGAAGCTTTGATTTCTGAAACTGGAAGGTGCTTCACCTTTTCGCTACTTAGTATTTATCAATCTCTGAATATCGATTGTAATTCCATTTTAATGTACTTTACAGATGATGCCAATTTCCTTTGATAAATAGCCTTATTCAACAAGCCACTGATAATACACCTTCGGTGCAGTTTGAGAAGGGACCATCTAGAATAATTATCAGAGGAAAGTCTAAATTTTGATCACAGATTACTTAAAATGTCTAGTGCAAGCATCATGGTTCAGAATATTGAAGTCTCTGATAGTAATAATGGATGCAGTATTAGAGTGGGAACAACAGGCACCATTGGATCTCTAATGATCAAAGAGTTGGAGTCCATGAAGATCTCCAACCCCCAACAAACATCAATGCCCAATAGAAGAAGGTCTCCAACAAATCCAGTCTCTGTTCTTTGTGGTGGAGTCGGATACAAACAACAGCCTCTTAAACCAGGCACCAGTACTGGAAGCAGCCAAAGAAGTCCTGCGAATAAAACCCCTCAAAAACCCAATCGAAAAACCCAAAAATTTCCTAAAAACAACCCAAAAGCAGAGCATCATATTCCAATGCTCAGCTCTGATGCTGCAACAGATTCACAGTGTTATAGAAAGAAGTCAAACAAAAAGACTTTGGCTTCCTCGTCTACTTCTGATTCGGCTTCGTCATATGGGGCTTCTTGTTCGAGCTCAGGGAGTTTCATTGTTGAGGTTGTCGACCTCAAATGCAGCAGTAGCAGCCCAGACAAGATTTGGGCTGCACCGATAACCAGTCGTCTTCGGAAGCTTAGCTTTTCAAGGCTCTCTAATACTGTATGAGACTCTTTAGAATCCATTAAAAAGCTAAAGCCTTTAGAAACCCACAGTCTTCAATTACCTGTTTTTTAGCTATCTGTGCAATTTCTTCACGTCCACCTTCAAGTTCGTGTAACAAAAATCAGGGATCCTCTCCGGTCTTGTATCAACCGCCACATCTGCAAGTGAACAGATGCTCGGTAAAAATCTGCTCCCTCCCTTCTTTTTCTTCTTTTGGGTCCTCACCACAGTCTCAAGAGATCCTATTTTGGATCCAAAACTTTCCATTGAAGAAGGTATTATCGGGAGCTGCTTCTTATGGTGGTCGACACTCCTGAAATACTCGATTTCTTGCAAGACCAGGGACCCAATGGTGCCTCTGGTTCCTATCTCTAGAGGGGCCTTTGGAGTTGCTCTGCTTATGGCTGCCATGGCTAGAGGAGGGAGAAATGAAGACAATGGTGAGTGAATTCAGGTTCTATGCATTCCAAGTGTTGTATTTCTGAATCATGGGCAGGCTTTATAAAGGACTGTAGTTTTTGGATGGTGTTTCTTGATTGCTTGGTGGTTGAGGCATCCTTGGTGTTGCTTATAAAGTGCGCGCTGTGTCTCTGTCTCTCTCTCTCTCTCTCTCTGCCCTTTTTGCAGGTTTGTTTGGTTTTGAGAGGAGCTGATGTGAGTGGAGAGCATGAGATTGGGGTGATGTTGATATGGGTCACCCAATACATGTGTGTGCAATCAAAGCATTTTTGGATGGGTTTCTACCTCATTGATGCTCAGGTTAGTGGGGTCTTTTCTGAATTTTTTACCAACCATTGATTTCTTTCTGTTGCTTTCTTTTTGGCTGTCCTTTTCTTGTGAGGCTTGTTGGCAAAGTATGGGAAGGCGCGGTGTCATGCTTTTGGATCATATTCTGGTTAGGTATAAATGTTTCCCTTCTCTTTGTTTAATAGAATTTGCCAGAATTCTCATTTATTTTGCTTTCTGTCTTTATGTTATGACAATAGTCGTGGGTCTTATTCTTTTCATTAGGGCAAGGGACAAGAATGCTTATTTTCGAATGGGGTTTCAAAGAGCAAACCACAAATTTCTTTGGACTCTTATTGAAAGGGTGTGGTTTGTATAAGGCTGAGGCCCTAAATAATCAAAGTAAGGCGCACCTTCAAATGGTATCGGATGATGTTGTTTTAGTGCCAAAAATCATTATGGTCGCCTGAAAAATTATTTTTATTTCAATTATAAAATGTAAAGCTTTAAAAATAGTGTATATCAAGCAGGTTTATGAACACTTGAAAATTTTGAAATTGATGCAATGTTTCAAAAGTTGAAGTCAATTTTTTTTATGTACATATATTTCAAGGTCGAGATGATTGGATTTGAGAGTTTTTGGGCGTCGAAACTACTTATTCTACCATGAGGTGCACCTTAGTTTGATTGTTGAGGGCCTTTAACTTACTTTATATAAACTTTTTCCTGACTGAAATATATTGTTCCTTTTTTCACTGGAAAAATTGCTTCTAAATTCTCAATCTATCAAAATAATTTGGGCAATCTCATTATCATCATCATCAGAATTTATCCCGACTATTTGGGGCCAGCTACACAAATCACGTTCCGTCATTCTACTCTATCATGCACTCAATAAGACCAAAAGTGTCGCTTATGGGGAACGTCTTCACATGAGCGGATAACATAGATTTAGGATTCATTAAAAGTTGTGGCAAAGCTTAGACCGTCTGCCTACTTAACACAAGTCACCCCTTTTACTCAGGCTTGGGATTGGCATAAACGACGGCAAGGGGCTAGGTCAATAGGAACATCTAAAACATAAATGCCACCGCCGATTTTCAGTAAAACATAAAAGCGCTTTTGGATAGGCAAGCATTTGATTTGGAATTTGATTTTCAGTAAAACATAAAACATAAAACATAACGATTGAGCTCACATGGCATGTAAAACCTATAACGCACACACCCATCTTTAACAAGTGAAGACATGAGATGCTTTCTAATAACCTTGCTTAATGGTAACTGGGGTTACCTCAATCTTGATTTAGTTTCATGTTGACTTTAATGGCCTATATGGCCCAGTTTTGTGAATCTCGCTATCTTAAGCATCAATAAGTAAATTAGTACTGGATTTTCTCATTGCTCACCTCACCCATCAATTTGCCAAATAGAGGTGCTAGATATGAAAAAAGATGCGATAAGATTATTAATTTTTAACGTAAAACAAGTCGCAAGCACTCTTAACTATTAGATTTATTAATTTTTAACGTAAAACAAGTCGCAAGCACTCTTAGCTATTAGATATAGAATTGAGGGATATGCTTACTTTTAAAGCCAAAAAGTATTATCTTTAAATTTTATTACACATTTGTTACCATCAAATTTCACATTTGATTGGAAGGAATGACTGACTTTCATGTGCCCAAACTAAACATTCTTATAGTACACAATGCCAATGGATGTTAATCAAATAGTACTGTCATGTGATATATTGCTATGATGGTGGTTGTGTCAAAAGTGGCAGGAAATTCGAAAATGGATCCTTACCATATTATAAACTTTAGAATTGGGACCACCTAATCATAATTCCAATATAGAAGCAACATTTTTTTTTTTCTTTTTAAAATGCTTTGAAAGGTTATTTTTATTTCCTTTTCCTTTTTTGAAACACTTGAAAATTCCAAATTGGTCTGGTTATTATTGGTTCAGGGGATTCCATCAGTTGGGGGTTGTGTATGTAGAGTAGGTTTTGTGTTTTTTAGTGTTTTATTCGGATCTCCAACTTCTTGTTGAAGGGGACATGCTCTCTTTCTCTCAGTTGGGTTTGAAGCCCCTTTCTTATCCCTTCTCTTATACTCAATATATAATTTGTTCATTGAAATATTTGGACTCTTTGGCTTTAAGAGTTGTGGATGCTGACAGGCATATATGATTTTCTCAACATCTCATTTGGATTTGCCCCTTTCTCTCTCTTGCTCTCTCTTATGTGGGGAACCCTTGGTGTAAATTTTTTTTGGTATAAGTGGAGCGCATGTACAACTTGCTTTTGGGGGAGCATACTGTACGACAATTCCCTCGGGTAAAATAGTAACTTGGGATCACTTTCTACCCGAAATTTTAGGATCCATCTAAGTACCATCACATAGTTATTTTCAAGAAAAAGATTGGATTTTTGAGTTCTTAAAAATCTAGATCTTGTAATCTGAAAATTGGATGGTTCTTGTTCAATCTTGGATGTTCATATTTTGAGGCACGTAAAGAGATCTATTCAACACTTTTTCTTTTTATTTTGGATGGGAATCAATCAGCACTGAACCGGTTTTAGAATAACCGCACCGTGCCCCTTAACCCCTCTACTTGGTTTTTTTTTTTTTTTATTGCTCGTCTTTGTCTAATATTTTCTCATGTCCCCTTAAATTCTCGCCCCATAAACTACTATTTTAGTTTTTATTTAATTTTATTTATTTATTAATCTTTTTCTAATGATCACTAATTCGGGTCGTCTAAATTTGATAAGATCACCAATCTATCCGCCATAGATTTGTGAGAGAACGATTTGCCCCATCAAGGCTAGTTATTCCTAAAATGACTTTTACCCATGGAAGCAAAGCACGAAATCTATTCACAAGAGTGGAATGTGTATGTATAACTTGTATGGGTTAGTGAACTTGGGTGAAATGTAACATCTCGATGATGAATTGATGCTCCATGACAAGAAAATACGAACAACAAAGAAAGTGCAGGTTACAAATGCAATAATCTGAGCAGCTAAACAACAAAGAGAGAGTGGCCCAAGATTGCCGACATTATTTAGGAACATATTAAATAGCCCCTTTGTCGTCCAATGCGTCAGCTTTGCTGTCTTCAAAGGGTTGGGAAAATGATCACACTACAAAACAAAAGACCATTACATTGTAGTATATTGCACACCGTGATAATATGATAAAATGCATGATATTGGGATCTTTCATTATCAAAGTTTTATCTCAATTATTTGAAATTTAAAGGGTAATAATTTATTGTCATGTCTAAAAACCTTTATCCCAACTATTTGGGATTCAAAGGGTAATAATTTATTGCCATGTCTTAAATTATTTCAAAGGTTGCGGTTAGCATAATCTACCTTGTAAGACATTATTTAGGTCAAATTTTATATTCAGTGGTAAAAATAGATCGGATTTTTTTACAAAGAGATCATTTATCTTTTGTACATGGAGGTTACAATCATTTTTGTCCTAAAAATTTCAAAATTGGTGGTTGTAAAAGTGTCATTGAATAGACAAAAATAAAAATAAAAATCTCGGATTTTGAGACTTACTTTAAGCCATCCAATTTGACATCAAGTGGTAATGATTTTGACCTCCATGTATAAAAGATAAATGGTCTTTTTGTAGACAATCTCAAAATAGATTTAAAATGATCCTAGAGTTTTTGGCATCGAAACTACAATTTCTAATGGAATTTTGAGGTGTGGGTTACTTTTTATCTTGAAGCTTAGGGCATGTATAAACCTTTTCATAAAGGTGATCAATCCTTCCAAAATATTTAGCGGGTTCAAGACATGTCAATTAGCATTAAAGCGTTTTTCTTTTAAATTAATTTCACTTTGGTATCAAATCTTCGTAACTTTATAAATTACCTCAATTTAAAATTAGGAATCTTGAACCAGCAAGGCCATTTTAATAATTTATCTTATTTAATATGCTCCAATCTCAATTTGAAGGAGAGAAATTCTTGAAGATATTTTTTAAAGAGGTATGTAAGTAAAGTAAAAATTTAAAAGTAAACAATTGAGATCTTTTGCCTTGATGATTGTGTAAAGGACTTTGACCGATTTATAGATATGCTGGCAAACTTTTTCTTATCGCAAATGTTTCTATAATGCCCACGATGAATTTTCGGATTTTTCTTAACTTATGTTCCATTAAGAATCGGTTCTAAAATGGATTATGAAAACTAATCCATGAGATGCTGTCAATGCCTGTCTCATGCCCGCCGTAATGCAAAGTGGCCCTTATTTGCTGCCTTTGTATTATATCCAAAAAGGGTAAAACTTTTGTTCCCTCTCCTTACGCCCCTCCCAAAATCAACTTAGAGCACCAGCTACAAGCCACTAAGATCTAGCCCGTCCCACAGAAGCGTAAATTTAAACTTTCACTATTGCACTGGTCCTTATTTTTTTTTGGGTTGATTTCGCCCGTACTCGTTTGGTGAGAATGGAGTCCGAAATATCATCATAGAGCTTGGCGGTACATTGTTGGATCCGCAATCTTGATTGGGCCTGAATTGGTCCAAATTAGGGAACCAAAAAATATTATAAATAAATAAAATAAAAAAAGGGTTTATGGATTTAGAGGGACCTACGAAACCCAATTGGTTTCCATCCAGATCGGCAATCTAGATCAAAAACTCATCGGGCTTTAAAACACTGAATCGAAGCTCGGGATAAGGATATTTGGTTTTTTCGTGGATATGATATTGTTACTTCTAAGCATTGAGTTTTAAATCCTGGTTGGCTTGGTTTAAATGTGTAAATGTTTTACTTCCCTGATGAATTTGAGGGTTTTGCTTAACTTGAAAAAGCCACAAGAAAGAGCGAGTGTCGTTTAAGGTGTTGCTTAGCTACAAATGAATTTGAATCCACATGATTTTTCAAAGGAAAATGTTTCGATAAGGTTCAACACTACCAAAATAAGTAAAGCCTCACTTTAAAACCCACAAAAAATTGCAATTCTAGCGTCAGACAACCTCAAAATTGATCATCTCGGCATTGACCATTATTGTTGTGAAAAAAATATGAATTTCAAGCTCTAAAAATAATGTGTATTGAAACAAATTATCTAGACCATCTATTTCGCCCAAAAAAAAAGTATACATGGATTCACAATATTTGTACTATTTTTTAAGATTCAAATTTTATAATCGATGTTGAAAATTGATGCCAGATTCCGATGCACTAAGCATTTTTTGGATGAAGATTTTAGGTGAGGCTTTACTTTGTTTTCATAATGCCTAGGCCTTATAAAAACTGCATCTTTTTTAAAATACAATGATGTTAGATGTCCGAGGGTAGTTTTGGTTACCATTTTGAACTCTAATGGTGAGCCCCTCATTGAAACTCACTGAAATTTGGCCACCCGGCTCATTGCCACCCTTATACTAGGATTAGAGGAAGTCTTTAAGGTCTATAAAGGGAAGTGAGCTTAATGTGTGGTTTAGAGGGTTGTAATGTGAGTCTTTGGGAGCGTAAGAGTTCAATAG